GACAAGTGGAAAATCAAACGCACAAATACGAAGTGGGGAATAACTGGCTGAGCAGTCGTACTGCCGAAAATGTCCGGAGGTTCCAGCGGATCACAAATCGAACACTAGCCAACAATGCGATGCACTTGTGGGAAAAGGACAATACTAACAGGAGGGGCGTACGTAAGACTCGGGAGGTAACTGTCCCGCTCTACCAGGCACTGGTGAGGCCCCAGCTGGAGTCCCGCGGCCGGCGTTGGGCGCTGCGCTTTAAGAAAGACGTGGACAAATTGGAAAGAGTCCAGAGAAAAACAACAAAAATGATAAAGGTTGAGAAAACCGGACCTGTGAGGAAAGGTGAAAATAACCGGGCAGTCTAGACTTGACAAAAGACGACTCGGGGGCGGACCTCACAACTGTCTTCACCTACGTTAAGGGCTCAAGTGTTCTCCATGTCCACTGAAGGCAGGACAAGAAGCAATGGGCTTTTACTGCAGCAGGGCAGCTCCAGGTTAGATATTAGGAAAACTCTCTAACTCTCGGGGGAGTTACGCTCTGGAAGCGGAGTCCAGTGGTCCCCAGCACTGGAGGCTTTTGGTTGGATGAAGCCCAGTCAGGGATGGTCTAGGTGACCTGTCCCTGGCCCGACGCGGTCTGATTCCACAACAGTCAAAACAGCAAGAAAGAGAAAAGGGGGCGGGAAACGGAGGAACACAGAGAGAGGAAGAAATTTCCCCACGTTCAGTGCCCGAGCTGGGAACAGGACTTGGGTGTCGTGAGTTCCACTCCAGTGCTCTACCCGCTAGACTGCCCTGCCCTGGGATTATTTATACCTCCTGTTTGTCAGACAGGCAGCTGAGAGACAGCGAGCGATGCAGGCTGGAATTTTCATTTATTTCCTGGCTTTGCCCAAGGTGATCCGGTGAGTCAGGGGCAGACTGGGAACAGAACCCCCTTCTTCCGCATCCCAGCCCACACGGCAACCCGCCCCTGTTCCACACAGCCAGTCCTATCCCTGTACCCACTCTGCCTGTTGAAAACGCCTTGCCCGAGATTTAAGGGCAGTTTATTCTTGGCTCTTTGTAATTCTGAGAAAAATCAGATCTTGCTCATCCTAGAAGAAAAAGAAGAAGGAAGCCACCGAAGATCTGGTTCCCGTTCTTTGCGCCTCCCCGAGAAGTCACCCAGCTCTCCCGCCAATTGCACAAAGTCTAACCAGTCCTGCTGCTTCTCAGTCAAGCAAATATATCCAAGGGATTCTTGCTAAGCGCAGAGAACACGTCTCCGGAGGGTCCCTGCCGACACCGCTCCATAGCCGGTGTATTCATTCTGCAACAGCTCTGCTCCCTGCCCCCAGCGTGGGGGGCTGGTCAGGGACGTTGCTGGAGCACACTGCAGCATGGGTATTCTCAGCCCCCCCCAACCCTGGGAAACAGTGTGTGACCTGTTAGAGCAGCCTCAGGGCTGCACTCACTTACATGGGAGGCTGAGCGGAATGCAGGGGAGCACAGAGATGGCTGAAAGCCCCTCCCCAAGTGCAGGAATGGGAGAGCTGAGATGCGGGGTTGCGAGCTGGCCGGTTGGAGGTGTACCACGGGAGAGCAGCCGGTACTGCTGCTAATGTCCTGCCCCTTTGCTTGCCCTCAGGGGAGGGAGTTGTGGAGGGGGGAGTAGATATCATCTGTGCTCAGTCAAGCTTCTCCAAGTGGGAGCAGAGCTCTGAGGTGTCCAAAGGGGCGGGCTGGCCATATCCAAGGGGGCTGCTGGGAAAGAAGGGGTTGAGGCAGGTTCCCCCAGTGATGCAACAGGACAGAGCCATGAGGGGTAATCGGGAGCCCGACCTCACGGGCCGCATATCTGGCACAAGCTGAAGAACGCTGCAGTGCAGAGCGAGGGCCCGGGCTGGCTCTGGCGAGAGAGAGGTCACAGAACGGCACGGCCAGTATCAACCTCTTCGCTCATCTAGCGCCACTCGGCGCCACTTCGGGCCGTGACTGCATCACCCCCCGATGGGCGGGCTCTGTACCCAGCCCTGAGCTACGCCCCCCCACCAAGGAACCCACCCACTAGCCTTCCGCACCACAACCGCCGCAGGAAGTGGTTCTGAGCATCAACCCAGCGCGGTGGTTGCGGTGAGCACGGGCCCAGAGGTGTCGCTCAGGACAGGACGTAAATCGGCTCCTAGCCTCTTGCGGATCCCCTGCCACTCTCTCTTTTTCGCACGTGTAGGTGTGTTTGTGAACATGTGCACGCTCACAATTCTAGTTCAGGCAACTGACCCAGAAGTTATAGGTCAGGGAAGGAATGAAACTCTCTGGCCTGGGTTATACAGGAGATCATAAAGATCCCTTCTTCCCTTAAACCCTATTCATTTCACCACCTGCCCAGACTTTCTGGCCTGTTCGGCTGCTGGGGCAGAAAGGCTGCCTCTCTCACCCCAGAGGTGGCTGCATCTCAGAGGCGTCTGTCCAAAGATCCTACAGGACGGAAAAGGGTCTCTCAAAAAAGAAAAATCACCAAGGGTTATTTTAGCCCGCTGGGGCGCTCGTGGGTGCGTGGCAGGCTCTGGATTTCTCAAGTTTATCCTTGCGGGAGGGCAGACGCCGGGTGGCCTGATCCCAAGGCTGGCAAACGAAGGTTCGGGAGAAAGGTGGAGAAAGTTAGTTTCAGGGAGCGCTAGAGGTTATGCTGCATCTGTCTGGATGGATAAAAAGAGCCCGGTTAAAGGAGTACAAACAGGGCACGCGGAACGTCTACCAGGACGGATATGTTCCAGCAGCAAGAACCTCCAAGTTTAGCACAGGAATTTTCCAGGGCTGCCGACTGTTTTGAGCCAGAGAGCCCGTCCCAGCCTTTTCGTCTTTTCTCCCTCCCATCGGGAGGTGGTTGCGTCACTTTGCCTTAATAAATAACCTGAGTCAAAAGGCCGCTTCGGAAAGACCTTTATTTCAGATGGCGCAGCCAGGAACCGATTTCAGTGCTGGAGGCTAGGAGGATGAAAGGAGCCCAAAGGGCATTGGACATCTGAACCCGAAGTCAAAGGGATTTAGGCACTTAACACCCACCCCACCCTTCAGGCTACTTTGAAAAGCCCACCCAGAGTCCTTACAAATTCACAGAGACTTTACTGGCATGGCAAGTTACACACACATTTGCCAGAGGGAAAAGACAGACCAGCCCCGTGGGGTGTACGACCCACTCAAGATGGGGCCACCACTGTGTTTGTGGTTTGATCCCCTTTGTCACTGAAGGTCTATTCCTAACACAGTAACGCCTGGCTCTCAGCTAGAGCTCTCCAGTGGTAGATCTCAAAGCACTTTATCAACGAGGTACCCATTTTACAGACAGGGAAACCGAGGCAGAGGGTGAGGAAGTGACTTGCCTACGGTCTCCCAGCAGGCCGGTGACAGACCCAGGAACAGAACCCAGGTCTGCTGAACCCCAGGCCAGCGTGCTATCCACATGCTGCTTTCTCTCCCCCCCTCCCCACACACACACACACACACTTCCTAGACACCCTCCACAACGCCCCCCATCTTCCTGAACACTCGGGATTTGTTTGTTGTTACTCTCTTTTCTTTTTGTTTCCTTAAGATCCAGCCTCCGCTGGGCCAGATATCTGCCCGTTCCCATCAAGTCCCCACAGCTCCACGCAGCTGCTCTGCAGCGAGGGGCCCGCCCAGCCTCTGCAGCTGAGGCAAAGGGACTTGATGGACCCAAAAGCAAACACACAAATCTGGGAACTGCTATTTTGATTGTCCACAGGCTGTTCCCAACTGTCCCTTTCCTCTCCAGTCCCAACCCTTCCCACACACAGGCACCCCCTTAACTCTGCACCCAAGAGGGGCAGATTGCAGTTCTCTTCCTGGCTGCAGCAGATTTGCAAGCATATCAAAGTCTCCCCAGCCCCCCCACATCCACCCCCTCCCCAGGTCTGTCTCAGCCTCTCTGCTCTCTGCTCCAGGGTACTCAGAGCTTGAAGCCTCAGAGATTCCTCCCCTGAGACCAGCACTCCTCGCCAGCTGCAGGAAAGGACGGATGCAGCAGACGCCAAGGAGCGTAACCCCTGTCAGAGACGTGCCTCTCTGCAACGGGGTTAGGATCATCGGGGTTTCTATATACACACACACACCCCGAAAGTGGCTGCCCCTTGCCCAAGCACCCCTTTTTTCCCTCCCCGCCTCCCCCCACCGGTAAAGCAACCTGCCAAACATTTCACGTTGCACTTTCTTTGCCAACGTCCCCCACTTCTGGGGTGAAGGAAAAGGCTCTACGTTGGCCTGGCTCTATGCCCTGCTAAAACTTTGGGAAGGGGGGGGGGAACCCCCAAGTACCGAAACAGTGGACCCTGACCAACTCCTCGTGAACAGCTGAGTCTAACACCAAGATCCATAAAGCCAGGGGTCCAAGCTTCAGGACGCAAGCCTGTGCTACAAAGAGAGCCACATAACAAAACACGCACCCCCACGCACCAGGTTCGAGAAGTACATTTTAAACCCCAGTTCCTTCATCTCTAACACCAACCAGCATTACTTCTGCAACACAAATAATCTATATGCCAAAGACAACAGTCCCACAAAGATCCAAAAATGAAGGCCCCACACAAATTATTTAGGCAGGAAGCATACAATGCCGTGGGGTTCTTTCCTTCCGCGTAAATGGCTCTTGCTAAATCCTCTGTTTCTTTCATTTCCAGTGTCTAGCGATTCCAACAATAACGGTGTTACAGGGAGGTTCATAGGTATCCGTGAGGCAGCAGGTCCCCTCGAAACAGTGCATTTGAGAAGCATGCTATTGGGGTAGACAGAAGAATGATGGGTCATATAGAATGGACGGTTTATACTTCTAACAACTTCCTGTCATACCTGCACCGACAGATGTGGCCAGTGAACATTACTATAGAAAGAAAAGGAACGAGGAAGGAAACTTTCAGGTTGATGCCAGTTCAGAACCCTAGAAGATGCATGCAGTAGAAAAATATAAACACAGACACAATTAGCAGGAAAGAAAATGATACATACATATATCAGGAGATTCATCGGATCCGTCGGGACAGTCTTTCTCTCCATCACACCTCCAGCCCTTAGATATGCACGTAATCTGATCTTTGCATGCAAACTGTTTAGGGCTACATGTCTTCGGTGCTACATAAGAGAATAAAACAAAACAACAACAACAATAAACATGGTGCGTTTCTTCCCAAGACAAGTTATTTACAAGAAATTCAAGCTGGATTTGATTTGGGTTTTTTTGAAGTCTCAGCAAAAGTTTTGCACGTAGCATCGGGGTCCGTCTGTCTCACCCCTAAGGAAAGAATAGGATTTAAACTGAGGTATTAATTACAGGAGCTGGGATCCATGATGCGTTAGCAGATTTTAAAGATCATTTAACTTGGATAAATTAGTGCTTGGGAGCCAACGGCGGTTTATTTTTTTTATGCTAGATAATGAAAACAAAGTTTAAAAAACCCAGAGGAGAGCAAACAGTAAGTCAGTTCTATTCCCGGCGCTGCCTCTGACCCCCGGTGGGACCTTGCACAAGTCACTTCCCAGCTCTGTGCCTCAGTTTCCCACGTGCAAAAGGACTCCTCTGTACTGCAGTAGCACCCAGAGGCCTATGAGACCATGGCCTATTCTAGTAGGAACTGGGCAGACACCTGGCGAAACGAGACAAAGGGGGGGGGGGGGACACTGAGGCACGGCACGGGAAAGTGATGTGTCCAGCATCACGCAGCTGGCAGGGTTGGGGATGGAACCCAGGAGCCCAGACTCCCAGTGCAGCACCCCACCTACCAGACCAGACGCGCCTCACCATTTTCCCTACCTCTGAGGGGGTTTGAGGTGCTGCGTCGCCACGGCAACAGCAGCCACTGGAGAGCCAAGACAGATAGGCCTCAAACTCCATCCTTGAGCAAACAGACCCAGCACAGGGGGATTCAGACACGGCTGGGGTTGGGGGAGTGGGGGACCCTCTGCTTCCCTCCCTCCTCCCCCCCTCCTGCCCCACAAGGCCCAGAAGCAAACATGTCCCCTAAGCCTCCCTGCAGCCCGCCCTCACGCAGAAAGTAAAGCTGGCCCTCTCACCCCCGCCCTCCCACACACACACACACACACACAGACCCATGTCACTGTGGGTCCCTTGCACGCCCAGCGGGACGGGAATATACGCAGATCCCCCAGCTTCTCTCTCACACACACACACACAGACCCGTGTCACTGTGGGTCCCCTGCACGCCCAGCGGGACGGGAATATACGCAGATCCCCCAGCTTCTCTCACACACACACACACACACACACACACACCCCCCAAGATGGGGGAAATTCCACTGTCCCCATTTTACTGACAGGGACCTGAGACCCGGAGGGACAAAGGCCCAGATCCTAGAGGTATTTAGACACCAAATTCAACGGGAGTTCAGTGCCTAAACATCCACGTGACTTAAGATCATGTCGGAAGAGTGGGGACTTGAACCAAGGCTGGGCCTAGGCCCCGGGTCAGCCAGCGAACGCCCCCAGCCAGCCAGCATGCCAGAGAGAAATCCTTCCACCCCAGCTTTAGAAGATGAACGACCATTACACAGCGGCCTGATCCTAGCAAGGAGGGGGAGTGGAGGAGCAGAGCAGACAGCTGGACAGAAATAAATATTTGGGAGCGGCTCGTTAGGTTTCACAGAGAAGTGCCAGGAGATTTCCGGGCGTCTCTGCAGCACTCTGGGGCTGCATATTTCTTCGGGACACTCGATGAGCTCTCACTGGGAGGGGTTGTTGATATTTTCAAAGCATTTAAAGGCACAAGGGACCATTATGATCATTTAGGCTGATTTCTATTGGGACGCAGGGGGGAGGGAGGGGTTGTTTTTTTTGTTTTTTTTTAAGTTTAGGAGCTCCCATGGCAAAGGAACCAAAATTCACTCCATATTCACGCTGGCAGGC